AGATTTGTGGGGGTGTAAGCAAAAATCTCTTCTCTTTTTTTTCTGCTAGATGTAAATTCAATCCCCTTCTTCCTGTTTTTGTCCCCTCCCTCCAACTTTCCTGAATGAGGAACACAGAGGATGCTCTGTGAGGAGACCCTCCTAGAATTTTTCCCCCATGTTGTGTGTTGATGTTACTGCCTAGTAGAGGTACAGTCTGGCCTACTGATAATGAATTGCAAGCAGAAGCAAAAAACAAAGGTGAAGGAGCCGACAGTTTTGTCTTTGAGGACAGCATGAATTGCTATTAGGTAAGGAGCTTCTGCACAAATTTCAAAAGAGATTGCATGCTGATATGCTAACACATATTTTTAAGCCCTAGGCTAAGGCAGAGACCTCTTTATTTGGAAGCAAAGATCACTCACATTCTCTATGGATGTGCCCAATGTCACAAGCGTGATTAAAGATAGAGGTATTTTGTGTGTATGCCACAGCAGATTACCTTTGCTCCTGTCCCACACGAACCCCATTTCTGAATTTCAGTTACTATCTTCCTTCTACTCTGGAGTATTACTGTACCATATTCAGAAGTGATTGACTCGTCAGGAAAAGGAAGTAGAGAACAGTTGTTGAATCTTTAGGTTGTAACAGATGCAGTATTAGTCTGATTGCATTTGACTTGAAAGTAAAACAGCCCAGAGAATGTTACAGCAGCTTTGTCTAATAATTTGTAGTGATTTTCATATGATCAAAAATTCTCAGTTGCAGCTTCTACTATTTCCATTCTGTGAGAGAAGACATTTCATCCTTTACCATGATGCTTCAGGCTCATTGTCATACCAAACTCATTTTCATCCCTGCTATGTGAAGCTATAACACAGGTTATGCAATTAGCAGGAAAGTGTTTGCAGGAATGATAAGGAAAACTTGACAAATGAAGTACTCTCTGGGGTCTCAGTTCTGCTGCGGCTTCACTAAACAGAGCATGCTTTAGTACCCAATTTAAAGACAATGTCAAATAATTTAAGCCCACAATTTGACCTTCCTTATTCAAAGCATCTCTGTGGCTATAGGATTTTCACAAAATAACAAAACTGTGTTTAGCAAACATCATTAAGGTTCAAAAGTCAAGTGCTCAAAATTTGGAAATATCAGAATTAAGCTTGCCAAGGTAACCTAAATTCAGCCCTCTTGATCATTATCATACAGTCTTAAACTACGTGATCATATGCTATTTTTCCCACAAACCGCTCCCTCATTCAGTGCACAGGATGAATGGAACTTACTCAAAAAGTAGCAATTCAAAATTTTCTCATATCATTGTTGTTCAGTGTAGGAATGTCCGAGAGTAGTCAACTACCCATTTAGCCTAGGCTTATTAACTAGTTAAGTCGACTACTCAACTATTCACACACACCCCTTGCTGCCTCTCTGTCAGAGGCAGCAAGGGGAGGGAGAAGCAGGAGCAGTGCTTGGGGAAGCTGGCTTAAAAGCAGCTTCTGCCTGCACCAGACCCAGGCTCACTGCGGGTAAAGGCTGCTTCACCAGCAGCCCTTGGTTGTGAGGGGTCCTGGCTCCCCACTGGGAGCCCCCACAAACAGGGGCTACTGGACCTGGCATACCTTGGTCTTACTTGGCCAGGTGTCAGGGAACAATTGGTCCAGTGGCAAACCTGCCACTGCTCCATGGGAGCATTCAACTGCCTTTACCATAAGGCCAGCCTGTCTCTTCCTGCAGTCTCCTGCCTCTCTCACCACACACTTTTAAGCTTCTGCAGCAAACAAAATAAGCATTCTACAGCCAGATTTCCTTCACTACACACCCTTGTTTCACCCCCAGAGCAAGTCCATCCACTCTGTGTTCTGCAGGAGGCAGGGGTCTTTTGGAAAAAAACAGTATGTGTCCATGTTAAGACTGTATCATAATGCATACACACAAAGGGGTTGAATTAAGGCTGCAAGTGTTTCATAACATCTGAGTGCTTAACTTTGTAATTGTCTAAGTTTAAAAAAAAAACTAAACTGAAATTACATCAAGTGGCAGGTCGAAACCCACATGGGCCATCAGCAGGATTGGAATTTTTAGATTCATTACACGACCTCAGCCACTTGAGCAAATGGAGTAATGGAGAGTAGGATTACCAGATGGTTTAAAAAAAAATCGGACACACTTGAATCTCAGATGGGGGTGCAGGGACCGGCTGGGAGGGCAACGGGGTTGGCCAGGAGGGGATTGGGGGGAGCGGGGCTGGCCAGAGGAGATTGGGGGGCAGAGAAGACCAGCCAGCAGGAAGCAGGGCTGGCCAGGAGGGGATTGGGGGGAGCGGGGCTGGCCGAGGGGGAAGTGGGGCGGAAACCGGCTAGCAGGGAGCGGTGCACAAACATCCTGGGGTACTGCCCATCCCGTGCACGGTCCTGGTGGGGCGCACGGGTGAGTCTGGCCCTGGGGATTCCATCTCGCCCCTGCCTCTGCCCCCCCCCTCACTGGACAGTCTGGTATTTTCTAATTAGGTAAGTATTATTATTATTAGGAGTATGGGTACCTAGTTGTGAACTACCTGGCTGGTAGGCACACTCACGCTGCGTGAGTGTGCCCATCAGCCAGGCAGTACGCAACTACATACTGATACTCGTGATAAGAATAAAAACGTAATTAGAAAATACTGGACATTTATATGTCCGGTATTTTCTCAATTTGTTTCCCAGACAGAAAGCTGAAATACTGGACTGTCCGGTTCAAAACAGGACACCTGGCAACCCTAATGGAGAGCAATAGTCGACTGTCATCCTCTGTCAGTTAGCACTTGGGGTGGAATATGAAATGCATGCATTGCCAGTGGGTTTCACGGATATTTGCTGACAACAAAGGAAAGCTGAGGCACAGGAATCTTGGGTTCCATTACTGGCTCTTTAGGCGAGTGTTCTTTAGTGGGCACAGGCCCTTTGGCCCGTTTCCCTCAAGCTTGGCCTCTTCCGTCCCAATCTTGTCTCTTCACTGCCCTTGGCTCTTTGTTTCCATCCTATTCTCTTTGCCTACTCAGTTACACTGGGCATTTGATAGTGGTGGGAGGCCCTATGCTTGTAGAGACGTTGAAGCCAGCATAATGCTTTCAGAGGCACATTGGGAAGGGAATGTACTTGCCAACGGTCCTCGCTACAATTTAAGAAAAGATTCAGCAAGGGTTCTTCCTCTGTACAACTTTCTTGGACTGGGCCAAATCCCCTCTTGAGCCAGTCATTTAATCTGCCTCCTTTTGGGGCTCTAAGCACAGCTAGTAGCATTTATTCAGTCCTCTCTTTTCCCCCCCCCCCCACCTATGTGTAAGGGAATGCAAGGAGCCCCCAGAGGTTTCTGCTGTTGAGTAGGAATGGAACGAGCCGGCTGCACAAATGGGGAAGGACAGACCCTCCGCTGAGAGGGGGAGGCAAAGAGGGGAACTGATTCAAAAGGGCCCCAGGGTCCTGGCCGCCGCAACAGCTACTGTGGTGACCAGAGCCCCCCAGGCTCTTTAAATCGCTGCCAGAGTGGGTGCAGAGGGCTGGTGCCGCTTCTG